AGAGAGAGAGAGAGAGAGAGAGAGAGAGAGAGAGAGAGATCACAAAACAGACAAGCATTTTGGAAGCAGCTCCTTTAAATTTCTCCAAGGCTGGAGTGGATTCCCCCACCCCCTCTGTCAGCCTGCACTCCTTCTCACTCCAAGCACCTTACTCACACGGGAAAAGAGATACTTGCAGCGTCCATGCCTTTCTTCCTTTCCCCCGGGAAGAAAGAGGATGTGGGGAACGGAAAGCTAGGTGAGCAATCGCAAGTGAGCGACTGGGCAACCAGGTTGGGGTGTGGCCAGCCAGGGGTCGCCACCGGTTCAGCGACCCATGCCAAACAACCGCTACCAGTTCGCCCGAGTAGGTGCGAACCGGTTTAATACCACCTCTGTTCTGACAAACTAATAACAATTGAATATGAAAAAAATAAAATGGTAGCTTCCTTCCTTCTTCCTTCCTTCCTTCCCAGCAGTGCAAGAACCATTCTGGAGCTTTCCCCATCAATATTTTGGGGGCGATTAATATTCAAAACAGCTTCTTGCATAGATGAGGAGGAAGAGGGGAAGACCAGATTGTGCTGGATTAGCTTTAAACATAATTTGGTGACCTTCTGAATGTTTTCTGCCTTACCGAATGAATCTAGCACTTTACGAGCATCAGCATCAGCAACTGAAAATGGACTGAATTAATGAAACACAAATGATAAAAATAGGTAATTACATGGGTTATATAATCATTATGGATGTCTACATTCACAATGTATATTAGATTTCTTATCTAACAGTTGTTATGCATTTCCATACATTTCTTTTTGGAAGAAGGAAACCTGCTATTAAACCATTCCCCTCACTCCTAAGACACAAAGCCACGGGTGTCAAAATTGCCGCATCACATTGCCGTCATGTAGAAATGGCTAGTATATATTATTGTATAAAACTATAAAGTTGAGGATGTAGATCCCAACCTGAAACATGATGGGAAAGAATCTACCGTAGGTAATCATTTCCTCCAGGGCTCTTCAAAGCTACACCACTGGCTTGGCAGCATTTTTCATCCTGTTGGTCTTTGAATAAAGTCCCCACCATTCATCATCTTCATATCTACTATCAAATCTTGGAACCCATCTTCAGGAAACTTTTCTCCAGCAGAATGCATGTTCTATGTCATTCTGTGTGCGGTATTTTTATAGTGCCTATTGAACGTAGCTGTTGTACGTAGCTATTTAGATATTGATTGGGGTGCTGATGGCTGGCTAGTAAGTGATTGGCTGTTTGCTTGGGCTACCAAGGCCTCGCCTCCTAAGTACTAAATCTGCACTCATGTTGACTGATGAGGGACCCTTTTACCAATCAATTACTTCACTGGCTGTTTTTGTCCCTCCTCATGCAATCATCTCAGTAGCTACAAATGCTGCCATTCTTTGTTTTCTGGCTCCACCAAAAATTACATATGGGGAGGGAGAGGGAAGGTCCTGATCATGCTGAATTAGCTTTAAACATGAACAGATTCACTTACTTGATGAAGCTGGCAGTTGGTGAGCACCAGCATCTGTAAATGAAGATGGACTGAATTAGTGAAATACAAATTATAAAAATAGGTAAATTCAGAGTGTTTTTAAAAAATAGGTAAATAAATGGGTTATAGAGTTAAACAGCAACTATGTCTACCTACATTTACAATATATATTCGATTTCTCATCAAACAGTTCCTATGCATTTCTACAAATTTATTTTTGGAAGAGGGAAAGCTGCTATTAAACCACTCCCTCCATTCCCAAGACACTAAACCATTCCCAAAGGATATCAAGATCACTGATATAAAAGGCCTTCCAGAGGTCAAGGAGGGCTAGGACAGATGTGCTTTCCATTTCCTGCTCCCATTAGAGGACATCCATTAGTCCTCTAGAGCAGTGGTCGCCAACCAGTGGGCCAGCGACCACTGATGGCCGTGAGAAAATTTTACTGGTCTGCAGAGAAATGTCACCCCCAAAGCACCCCCCCAAAGCAATTAATATAGACTGTTTGGGAATGCAACCCTGTGCCGCCCACATGGCCCGCTGGAACACAAGGCTTGCATTGCTTGCATTGTGAACAACATGAGGTAGTGAGGGGAGGGGGGAAAGGGCGGAGAGGGGGACTGGCCCCACTCACCCCACACGCCGCGCCTGGCCACCGAGCTGCTTCTTTCCACTTCTTTCTTCATCTGCTTTTGGCTGCATGCAAGGAAAGCAGCACAACTCTTTCTTTCTCTCCCCCAAAGTCTGCCAGAAATTAGTCTTTGGGACCCTGCAAGGCATCCTGCTCCAAGAGGCTGCGCCGGCATGACAAGTCTCACAAAGACTCATTTCTAATGGAACTTGGGGGAGAGAAAGAAAGACTTCTGCTGCTTCTGCTACTTTCCTTTCCCCCCGCCCCACCCCCAGGAGAATGGAGCTGGAGACGGTATCCTGCGATCCCAAATAAAGAATAATCAATTGGTAGGAAAACGGGGTGGTCACCAGGACCAGAAGTTTTGTCTTACAAGTTGGAACCCATCTTCAGGGAACTTTTCTCCAGCAGAATGCATGTTCTGTGCCATTCTGTGTGTGGTATTTTTATGGTGCCTATTGAACGTAGCTGTTGTACGTAGCTATTTAGATATTGATTGGGGTGCTGATGGCCGGCTAGTAAGTGATTGGCTGTTTGCTTGTGCTGCCAAGGCCTCGCCTCCTAAGTACTAAATCTGCACTCATGTTGACTGATGAGGGGCCCTTTTACCAATCAATTACTTCACTGGCTGTTTTTGTCCCTAGTCATGCAATCATCTCAGTAGCTACAAATGCTGCCATTCTTTGTTTTCTGGCTCCACCAAACATTACATATCCCTCCCTCCCTCCCTCCCTTTATTATGGCCAGCACTGCAAGAACCACTCTGCAGCTTTCCCCATCAGGATTTTTGGCCTGATTAATATTCACAACAGCTTCTTACGTAATGGGGAGGGAGAGGGAAGGTCCTGATCATGCTGAATTAGCTTTAAGCATGAACAGATTCACTTACTTGATGAAGCTGGCAGTTGGTGAGCACCAGCATCTGTAAATGAAGATGGACTGAATTAGTGAAATACAAATTATAAAAATAGGTAAATTCAGAGCATTTTTAAAAAATAGGTAAATATTTTGAATAATCACATTAGACGATTCTTTTTCCTCCTGTTATTCTTTCCCCCTAAATGTGGGATCCACTTTTTTCTGCTATTCTGACTATTCCAAAATTGGAATAATTACAGTGGGAAAAGGACAATTAGGCCCTAAAGTTGGTGTAGGCCTCTGTCTAATTGAAGGCCTCAAATTAACAATATATTAAGCGTTGGCTGAGCTGATTTTGCAAGCTTAGCGGAATATTTGTAATCCTGCTGAGCTGTTGCTGTGAAATGTGATTTTTGCAAAGTATGTAGTTTTATAAATATATTTGGACATAGAAGGATGAAAACGGTGAGAAATGGGGAAGTAAAAGTAGCAGATGGATAAAAGTTTGAGATGTACACGGTATGTGTGCTACTTGTCTGTCGGTAAGAAAGAACAGGGAAGTAAGTTGTGAAATGCCTGGAGAAAAGTATAAAAGGAATGTCTTGGGATGAGTTTGAGGCCTCTGGCCATGGCTACTCCTTGCTGGACTCAGCCATGTCAGTGGACCTCATTGCAATGGGTTATTGATATAAGTAATGTTATGATGGCTTTTCATATTCCAAATTGCTCATGAAATAAACCTCTGATCTTAAAGTAAAATTTATTGCTTGTGGTTGGTCTGTGTTCCTCATTTGTTGAAATATTTTTATAACAAATTAATAAAGAAGTATTAATATAAATACTTCTTCCTAGGGTTTTTCTTCACCAAGCATTATGTATCCTATTCTCTTCCTTAACAGCAACAAAACATCACCACCTGTAATATATTATAATACTGCATCAGATCAGAAAACACAAATGGTCTAAATCATGGTCAGCTCATGACCTGGTAACTTTCAGGTTTCTCTTAGGCTACCCCCCTGCAGGGAGGCTGGACCCATTTGACCGCTCTGCCTCCAGAAAATTAATGGGTGCAAGTGATGGTGAATTCATCCCTGATGGACAGTGTTCCTGGCACCTTTTAAAGATGTTCTGATGCATCACCTCCTCATGAAGTTATTCATAGGCGCCACTGTTCTGGACACTGACTAGTACTGGGTAATGAAATATTTGCAAGAAAACAAGAACACCAAGGATCACACATGTCAGAGTTTAGCTACAAATATTCTTTATTGGATGCTTTCCACCCAGTCTGGCAACTTTCCTTCTTAGGGTTGAGAAGGTGGTGGCATTGCAACCTCAGAGGATCCTGGAGCAAATGGATTATTTTACCCTTTTCACACAGGTTTGAAGCCCACATACATAAACAGCATTGGTCATAGTGATGGATGACATCTGCTGGAATAGGATGGACACAATGCATTGTTAGATATTTACATATTTACCTGTGATTGGTTGAACCACGGAAGCGGGAAAACAAACATCTGTCACTGGCTGAAGCCGCGGACAACTCCCCTGTAAAAGGAGCTGCTGCAGCTGGGTTTCTTCAGTTCCTGCTGATACAAAATAAAGAGTTTTACCGATCTGAGTGTCCTGGGTCTTCACTCAACCCATGATCCAACACTGGCAACAAAGGTGGGATCCTGAAGCAACAAAGGACCAGATCAACCTGAAGCCACATGGCAACTGGCTGCCATTACTCTTGAACAGCAACCGGAACGATGTCAGGATCCAACATTGCCAAAGGCGCCTTTCAATCTGGCAACAGAAGACTGGGAATCATGCATCGACTGATTCTACATGTTCCTGGAGGGGAACAGCCTCCTCCACATATTGGAGCAGAGGAAATAAGCCATCTTCCTCACACACTGTGGATCCGCAGTTTTCAAAATGGCCAAGGCATTTTTGTCATCCAATGAATTGAAGACAATGGCTTGGCCAGATCTGGAAAGGATCCTAAGAGCCCACTACATGCCACAAGCATCGTGTTTAGTGAGGTGACATGAATTCTACTGGTGTGACCAGAAGGAAGGAGAAACCATCAGAGACTTTGTAGCAACCCTGTGAGAAATTGCCACCTGCGAGTTCCTAAATGTGGACGAGACAATGAGGGATCGCCTGGTCCTAGGATTCTGAGACCTAAACCTCCAGAACTGACTATTGGCAAAACCTAAGATAACCTTCAAGGAGGCCCTGGAAGAAGCCCCTGCAACAGAAGCATCGCAACAGTTGGCCACCACTATGAAAAAGATGAATAAGCAGCTGCCACAAAGAGAGATGGCCGCCATACACCACTAGGACATTGAATCAGACTCCGAGCTGGATGATGACAATGAAGAAATACATCAGCTCCAATCAGAATGAACATCCAAGAACCAGGACAAGGGAAGGAAAAACTTTTGGTGTTCTGGGGGTGAGAGGAATCACTCCAGGTCAGAATGCCATTTCCACGACGCAATCTGCCAAAGATATGACCAAAGGGGGCACATTGCAAAAGCCTGCAGGGCAGCCCAGCCAAACAGCCACCGACAGAGGCTGGGTACCCCACTCCCCAAAGCAGAGCAAGCCAACCAGCGAATAGGCGAAGCCCTTTTGGCCAGAACCGAAGATACAATGAGCCGACTACAGAGAGAGGTGAGATGCAACAAACAGTGACTGTGGGCCACTCTAGCACAACTAATGCAAGAAAGATGCATGTCCAAGTAAAGATAGAGGGGAAACCATGCCAGATGGAAGTGCATTCTGGGTCTTACCTATTGGTGGTCTCCTGGGACACCATCAAACAGCTTAGCCCCAGCATAACCAAAGCCAAGCTTAAACAACAGAGGCTAACCCTGAGAGACTACCAAGGAAACGGGATCCCTGTGATAGGGATCAGCGAGTTCCAAATACAATTTTAAAAATTCTCCAGCTACCTACCATTGACGATAATGGACAGAAACAGACCAAGCCTGCTGGGGCTAGAATGGTTCCAACCTTTGGGCATTGAGGTCACCGGAATAAACAGCATCACTGAGACCGAGTGGGAAGACAGCTTGATGGAGGAGTTCTGGGACGTGTTCAATGGACAATTTGGCAAGTTCTCAGGGACCCCTATTTCATTCAATCTAGATCCCACTATTGCCCTGATCAGAATTAAGCTGAGATGAAAAAATTGCACTGCGACCAAAAATTGACAAGCAGTTAGATAAGCTCATTGCCCAGGGAATTTTGGAACCTACCAACCACACAAAATGGGAGACCCCCATAGTTACACCCATCAAACCAGATGGGTCAGTGCGCATCTATGCTGACTATAAGGCAACCCTGAACCGTGCCCTACAGCAAAGTGCATACCCCGTCCCAGTGGTGCAACACCTTTTACATTCTCTGGGATGGGGGAAAATCTTTGCAAAGCTCGACCTCGCTCCAGCCTACCAACAATTACTGGTAGACGAAGAGACAGAAGAAGCCCAAACAATCATCATGTATAGGGGGGCATTCAAATGTAAACGCTTACAGTTTGGGGTCAGCGTAGCTCCTGGGCTATTCCAGAGCCTAATGGAACACCTCCTACAGGCACTAGAGGAGGTTGTGCCCTACTTCAACAATGTCCTGATATCAGCCAAGGACAAAGGCCAACTACAAAAACGCCTAAGGGCTGTGTTAAGCCATTTCCAGGAGGTGGGGCTAAAAGTCAAAAAAGAAAAATGCCAACTAGCAGCAAGCAGGGTGGAGTTCCTAGGATACCGGATAGACAGCACAGGAATACACCCCACTGAAAGCAAACTCAAGGCAACTAAAAAAGCCCCCAGACTGAAAAATAAAACAGATCTACAAGCTTTCTTGGGACTTCTTAACTTCTATAATATATTTTTACTGCAGAAAGCAACAACTGCAGAACCTTTACACAGACTGCTTGACAAGAAAGCAGCCTGGACCTGGGTGCAGAAGGAGGAAATGGCATTTAAGGGCATAAAGAACATCCTAACATCAGACAGCGTATTGATACAATACAGTGAGACACTACCACTAATCCTGACATGTGATGCATCACCATTTGGGATAGGCACAATAATCAGCCACACACTTCAGGACAGAAAAAAAGCCCCCATAGCCTTTTATTCAAAAACGCTGTCAAAGACTGAATGAAATTATAGCCAGCTTGATAAAGAAGCATTGGCCGCAGTAACAGGAATTAAATGATTCTATGTATACATTTATGGGAGGAAATTCACCTTGGTCACAAACCACAAGGTGCTGCTGGGAATAATCATGGGAAACCGAGCTACACCGAATATCCTGTCACCCCGATATACAAGATGGACAGATTTCCTCGCAGCATACGACTACGATCTGATACACAGACCTGGGAAGAACATAGATCATGCCGATGCACTCAGTCAATGCCCCCTACCAGACCTCGGTGAGGATCCAGCACCATCCACATCAACGCTCCTAACAGAGACACTCAAAACTGCCCCAGTGACAGCCACAGTCTCGCGAGAGCGAGTGCAAAGGACAAAACCCTGGCACGAATCTTGAAGTGGGTGCTGAGGGGGTGGCCAGAGACAGAGACAGTGGATGACATCAACCTGGGTGGCAACCTGCAAGGCATGCCAAGACTTCTGACCCACCCACCCCCCACAGCACCCATCCACGAATGGAAAACCCTGTGGGGACCATGGTCAAGGTTACATACAGACTTTGCAGGGCCAGTAAAGGGACACACATTCCTGGTCATGGTGGACACGTACTCCCAATTCGAGGAGTTCCTGGCAACACACAGGGTAAGACATGCCCTATCTGCCCTGGGGCACCCCTCAATGAATGGCCAAGCAGAGAGAATGGTTCGATTAATGAAGGAAACATTAACCAGGTTGCAACCAGAGGACACCCAAGTCAAAATAGACAAACTATTAAGCATCCAACATATAACTCCCAGCGCAACAACTAACAAAAGTCTTGCTGAACTATTGATGGGGAAGGAAACTAAGGTCACAGTTAGACAGACTACACCCCCAATACAATGCTGACAACCCAGTGAACTTGTCCAGCAGATGCCGGACATTCCAGGAGGACAATCCAGTATACACAAAAAACCTAACAGGCAAACCGCTATGGATACTGGCCAAAGTAATTCAAGTAACACCCCCCCGATCCTAATGGGTCGAAACAAATGATGGCCAGAATTGGAGGAGGTACATCGATCAACTCTGGGGGAGACAAATACAAGGGACACCAGAAATGCCATGCACCCCCAAAAGGGAAAGGGAGAACTCCCAAACAAAAATACAAAGAGATCAGGCCCTGACAAATAATGAGGCAAATCCTCAACAATTAATATCAAGCCTGAATAGAGAGTGTGATCACATACTGGCAGTCCTGCAATGGGTCAGCAAAGCCAGGGCAGAGAAAACAGCGAGAGGGTGACCTCTAGTGGGGACAAGATGGCTGCACCCACCGAGAGTTTCCAGGAGATCCCACAAGAGAATCCGGGGAAACGATAGATCCGTCCGAACAGTCCGAAGGCACACCAACGACTGAGCTGCGCAGGTCAGGTCACACCCACAAGATCCCTGCCTACTTGCAGGACTACTTACGTCAAAGACACCAGGATTGGTGAATCTAGACTAGTGGGGAGGGCTTCCTATATTTACAGCTCCTGCTCAAAGAATATATAGCAGCTGCAACTAGGTGGACCTTTGCTGAACTGCACACTGTGCACCAGTTATACCCTTTCATGGTTTGGGGAGGATCACCACTTGGTCACTCACATCCTGGTCATCTGCCATTTGAACAATGTGGCTCTACATGGGGCTACCCTTGAATGGATAGCTGGTTCACTAGTACAAAGTATGGCCTCACAGGCAATCTTGGCTGCTCAAAGAACAGCACATATAACACCTTTGCTGCATGAGTTTCATAGGATGCCAGTCTGCTTCTGGGTCCAATTCAAGGTATCGGTTATATATTTGAAGGCCTACATGGATGGTGCCAAGGTGCCATGGTGCCACCTTCAGAGCCATCTTAATCCCATTAATTCAGGACACCCCATCCTCTCAGACAGGTAAGATATGTTGTGGATTCCATCAGTTAAAAATTCTGCCTTCTCTGCCATTGTTACTTCCATGTGGAACACTTTCCCCCAAGGTGAAGCAGGCTCTCCTTCCCTGGCCTATTGGAAAAGTATAAAAACATGACTCTGAGGCCTTCCTTGGGGCACACAGAAGAGCATGCCACTATAGAGGGAGTTAGCGCCCTGAAAGCCTTTTAATTAACTTTAATACATTCTTGCCTTTTTAAATTATAAATTTTATTGATCAGATTTTTATGTTTTCATATTTTTTTTACTTGTATACCAGACCAAGTCTATCTTTTAGGGAAAGGAACCGTTTTAAAAAATTGATAAATAAATAAAACCTTTAAGAATCTCCTTTAAATTTAGATCAATGAACTGTTTGGTTGAACTTGGCTTAACTTTTTTCTTTTTTTTTTCAGTGACAGGAAAGTGCCAAATTGAGTGATAGAAGTTCCCATAGGTTTGATTTCAGGTCGTAGATTAAAAGGAAAGTCAGGCTAGAAGGAAAGTTCCTCTCTGAAATCCCAGGGACCCACTGCCAATCCTAGTCAACATCAATGAATTAGTTGACACAATTCAGTGGAGACAACTCCCCAAATCACAATTGGTGTTTATTTCTAGTTGATCTTATATGGGAGAACTTTTCTGTAATATGTTCAATTTTCTTACCTTTCTGTAAAGTTTCCTCAAGTTTTCTAGCAACATCATTTATATTGCTTTTTTGAAGGACATGAATGCACACCTGTAGAGCATCTTCTCCATAATGCTGAATCAGGAGATCTACAACATCTCGCTGATTAGCCTTTTCCAAATGAGCTGTAGGAATGTTTGACTTTCCATTGTGGTCAATATCCTTTAGCCACCATTTAAAATCTTGAAATTGCTTCTCAAGGAGGTCATTCAATGCATTGAAAAGATCTTCTCTCACAGTGTTGTTCATGTCAGTTATGATAGAGTATATTTGACCTAAAATTAAAATTAGAGAAATTAATATTTTATAGAAAATGTCAACAGTGTGAGTACAGCAAAGATTGGGGAAGCTTGTCTCAGAACTGCTGCCTATGCATTTAGGAGAATGGCTTCCCCAAAGCCTAGCAAGAATGCCAGTGGATTAAGACAGAGACCCAGCCCACAAGGGTGGCTTCCTTCTTTTGCAAAACACCATCACCACTGAGACCACTGAGTTTCCTTCCTAGTCAACTCTACTTTCGCTCCCTCTTCTGGAGTAAATAGCAGGTTTAGTAAGTTTTAGTAAGCCAGGGTCTCCCTTTGGCTCTTTTGCTGCTTGTCTGACTCCTTTTAGGAACCAATTTCTCCTGCTGCTGTTTGCAACATATGCAATATAAAGCTTTGAGTTTGCTTGCCATCTGGCAAGATCACAGGATCCAAAAAGACACAAACAGGAGTGGGAGATGGGAGGCTAAGTTGCAGCTCCCCCCCCCACATGTGACCACAAGTCGATGCAGGCTGCCAAGAATCCAAATTTTGATTATGTGACCCCAGAGGGCTTCAATGGTTATAACGTCAGGTATGAGTAACGTCATTCAGTATCATTGCAATTTCAAAAGGGCATTGAGCAAATGGTCATAAGTTAAGGCCTACCTGTAAAGGAAAAGAAGTGAGGCACAGAATGAAGATGTATCTGGTTATAACCCAAAGGTGCTTTTTCAGGAGGCAACTAGATGTTCTTGTTTTTTCTTTGAAGACATTTCACTTCTCATCCAAGAAGATTCTTCAGCTCTGACTGGATGGTGGGGAATGGAAGCATTTATATTCCTTGCAGACAGCTGGTCATTTGCATTCTTTTAGAGCAGGGGTGTCAAACGCAACTTCTTTGCCTTCACTGAGCCAGGGGTAGGCGTGGCCTGTACTTGGTGCATCCAGCCTGTGGACCACCAGTTTGACACCCCGTGGGCCACCAGGAGGTTCACCTGGGTCAACAGCACAGATGATGTTACTTAGTTTGGGTAATGAAACATCTGCAAGTAAACAAGCAAGCAAGTTCAGAGAGCACCAAGGTCCCCTCATTTCAGTACTGAGTTACAAATATTCTCCTTTATTAGTATATTAGAATGACAAATACACAGATGTTGAAAGGAAAATTAAAAAGAAGTAGAGCAAGAACATTGTAAAGGTAAAAAAACTGTAAATAATATATTTGGATTTAGCAATATTTGTGAATTGCAAATATTCCATCTGTCTTTCTGATTTGAATGTAAGGCCGTCTAGTTAAGGCTCTCCAAACTATAACAGTACTGAAGACAACTTGCATTGCTCACTATAGCACTCAGTGAAGCAGAACAATAATCCACTTCTCTAACATGCATATTTCATAAAATGTTCATTATGAGTCTTATTTAGAGGCTCCGATATGTAGTGCTTTGGATAGTTCTGAATTCTGCCTTCTTTAATGGTGTCTTCCATTCATGTCAATAATGTTTTTTATTTCAAGATTAATTTTTCATCCCAATTTCTCTTTGAAAATAGTCATTTTCTTCTCTTCACTTAAAAGACCAAAGAGGAAATACATTCTTAATTATAAATCAGGCCTTCAACTGAGAAAGCTATTCAACAATGTTGTCCTCATATTGTCAGTCTTTATTCCAGAAGGCATCTCTCCTGTGTCTGCACGAATATATCATTAAGCAACAAAAATTACCCGGAAGCTTAAACAAATGAAACTATAAAACCAAATTCAAACAGTGACTTTTTTTTTTAACAGGTTCTCATTCAGAAAGAGAGGGATTGCAGCCATACATTTTTAATGAAGAAATTGTTGTATCCTGACTCTATATATTTCTAAAAAGTAGTATTCTTGACTAGTTCTTGCAAAACATAACATAGATGTTTGAGAACTGAAATAGGCTCTTGAAATTTGCTGCCTACCCAATTCAAGAGCACAGAAAATGCCTAAGAAAGCTCCCATCCATTCATGAATTGTAATGGGAGGGGGAGCCTTGAAAACAGATATTCTCTGTAACAGAATATCTCATGGCAGAACAAGAGGCACCCACTCTCATAGCCTCTGGACTATGACTGTTCCAGAAGGCCTTTGAGACTGGACTGTTGTGGGATTTCTGGTAGCGTGAATGGAATCATTGCTACTCTACTGTATGATTAACTTCACTCTACTGTATGATTAACTTCACTTTTAGAATATATACTAAATTATATTATATTGTGTTCTTTCATTGCTGAATTGGATCTTGTGGTATCTCCTATAAACTGCATCGTTTAAAGATTTCAGTGGAGGTGCCCACTACCACACATTCCTAAAAATATCAACAAATATAGAGACAAAAAGAAATATTTTAGGGTTTGGACTTTTTTTAAAGTCTTGCTTTTATTCAATGAGTAACCTGTTCACAATCCTCTCTCTCTCTCTCTCTCTCTCTCTCTCTCTCTCTCTCACACACACACACACACACACACACACACACACACACCTATAGATGCTTCCAAGAAGGTCAGGATAGGCAGACAATAACCTCACTCTTTTAGCAGATCCAAACTTTTAGCATTCTCTTATTCCAACTCTTCTTACAGAGATTCTAATGAGAGCCCATGATGGATCACAACAAACTCCAACCCACACCAGTCTCTCCCTTTCTTGGCAGCTCCAAGACAACTATCAGGAGCAGCCGACAGGACAAACCTCTCTCCTTCTCTACAACTTCCTCTTGAGGCTAAATGATGCCGGGAGCATCTTCATCTCCCCCCATCCTCAGCCGGTTTCCCAACTGGGCAGCTCCACCATGCTGTACTTTGTCAGACAAACTCAGACTCAACAGACAAGATCTGACAGTGACTTCCATATCACATTTGGCATGATCTATGTTACCCTTTCCATTCACTTCACCCATTAGCCTTGGCTATAACCTAGCCACCACCCTTCCTGATCTCTATTTGTCTGCTAAGGTTAGGACCAGAAGTACTTCAAAGGCTGTTCAAAAACAAACAGAAGCCCCACAGATCAAACCAGGCTGGGGTTCCCACCTTCTGCATCTGGCTCACAGTGCCTGGCACGCCGGGCACGTAAGACCTTTTCCTTCTTTCCCATCGGGCACTTGAAGGTCAGATCAGCTTTTGCCAGGCAGGGACACATTTCCTGCTAAACTAATGCCTCAATCCTCACCTCTTCTGCTGAAGCATGTGATTAAACATTAAACGCACAGACAGGTTGAGCTCTACACAGCATTTCAGCACACTGAAAAACCAGGAAAGTTTGTAAATATGAAATCATAGGAATGATACCCTATATGAGGAGCCAGATCTTGAAGATCTCCAAGCAAAACTTACAAAAAAAAATCACCCTATGCTTATAGACTTATGGTGGAGATCAGGGTCCTTCTATTGCCAGCCCCATTCCAAGCTCAAATGAAGGACTTCCTTCTGGAGACGTTTCCTCTTTGCAAAAATTATGCTGAAAAGTCTTCCTCAAAGCTCTTACATTTTTGCAAAGCACTGGTCGCCCAAACAGTCTACCGCACACACACATGTGTTACATAAAATCCAACCCTCTTACATTTAAACACCTAGGATGGCAACCTTACCTTTTTGTGACAAAAAAATGGAGTCTGAAAGCTAAATTCGTCCTGAATTTATAAACAGATAAAGCTTTGTCCTTTGCAGGCCCCAGATAAAAGTGATTTCGTTCTCAAAAGTGCCCCTCCCTTCCGCATTGTAGTTTATTGTGTGAGTCATGTTTGCTCTGCCACATCCTGAAGTAGCTGCTTCAAAAGAGAGGAAGTTTCACAGAAGTTCTGCTTAATCAATATCGAACAAGAGAGCTGTAAAAGCCTTGAAAAGATACTTTTAAAAGTTGAAATGAAGATACATACCTGCTGCTTCACTTAATGTCTTCCACACTTTTCCTGATTCTTTCTCAACCTCTTACAAAGTTGTAATGCCAGAAAAGAGTTTCTGGGCATGTGCAGATTCTTTTTCTCCTCTTTGAAAGAGATGGAGGAGGCCAAGGACTGGAGGAGGCTAAAATCCCCCCTCACCACCCCATCAGCTCTGTGGGAGAAAAATTTGCCTTACTTCCACGTTTCTGTCCATTCCTTTCTGAATTTGTGAACTTGGTGAGATTTCCTTCAGTGGGTTTGGTTTGATCCTTTTGCCAGTTTTCTGCTGATGGGCATCAATTATTCCATTGGAGTCTGTTTGATATAAGAAACTATTGGTTTTCCAATAAGCAGGTTTTCTGACCAAAACTTTTTTGCAGTTCTTATTTTGGGGGTGGCATTTTTCAACTACTGGCCCATTTGTTTACTTCTAGATGTTGTTGTTGCCCACAACTCTTTGCTACCAGCGCTTAAAACTTGTCGTCCCATTTGATCCTGGGACAAGCAGCCAGGAAGAAGTAGGCAGAAGCTTCCTGGATGCCCGGGACTCTAGTCCTGCCAGCTATTATGTCAGCAATGAGAGCATTGAACATTCAATGACAAGAGGTTTTGTGTATATTTTGCTGTGTTATCAGTGGAATTCAGACCACCATTATGCATTAGTGATTCCTTAACACAAGTACATGCCAAATAAAAATATAAACACTAAAATGCTTAAGATCAGGGGTGGGATTCTACCAGGTCTCACCTATTCGCTAGAACAGGTTGTTAACATTCTAAGCAGTTTGGAGAACTGGTTGTTAGAAGAAATTACTGGCCTAATCCTGTAAGGAAGGCAGGAAGGAAACATTCTGGAGTTGCTTACAGAAACTGCCTCTCTGTTAACCCTTATATACATTCTTGGCAGGACTAGGTGTTGTGTCCCTGACTAGCTAAGTCTTCAACCTGGTCCGCATTTTGAGCGGGACCATCTTACTGTTCCCATTGGTTGGTGCCGTTTGACAGCAGACTATATAAGGAGCTGTCAAACGGCATCAGCTGGGGCAGTTGGGGCAGTTGGGGCTCCGGCTCCAGCCAGCCGGCTGCCAGCCCAGCTGGGCAGCCATGTTAATCTGTTACTGCTTCAAATAAAGAAACGTTATTCTTCAGCTCCTGTGTCTGCCTGGTGTGTCCGTCCAACCAAATACAACACTAGACTTCTTGTCTCTGGAACTTCTCTGGAGTTTTTCCCCCCCTAATTTGCTGGTACTTTGCTTGTGTGGAGTGACCATTCAAAGTTACAATGGCACTGAAAAAAGTGACTTATGACCGTTTTTCACACTTACAACTGTTGTAGCATCCCCACGGTCATGAGAGGCCAGGAGAGGAGATGCAAGCCGCGATGTGAGTGATATTAAGTTGGCCACGCCCAGCCAATAACATGACCACCAAGCCATGCCCACCAACTAAGCCACGCCCACAGAACCAGTTGTTAAATTGAATTCCACCCCTGCTTAAGATGATGCATTTCACTGATCTTATTCTTATTCTGCAGAGTAATTTACCCTCATTCAGAGCTGATGTAACTTTGAACAATCGCTGAATGAGTGTACATTAATGAAAACCACTTGCAAGAGCTGCCTGTGCTTTCCAATATGATCTCTACAGCATCCTTGCAGCTATAATGCACATAGGGTTCAGTATGTAGTAATAATTTTTTTTAAATAATACATATTTTTTTTAAAAAAGTATTTGGATGATCAGAAAATATAATTTGTCTCAATCTATTATAAAGCATTCTCCAAAATTCCTGGTTTCATAATATCATCACCATATTACCACTTTATAATGTCTTGGTAAGGCCACACTTGGAATACTGCATCCAGTTTTGGTCGCCACGATGTAAAAAAGATGTTGAGACTCTAGAAAGAGTGCAGAGAAGAGCAACAAAGATGATTAGGGGACTGGAAGCTAAAACATATAAAGAACGGTCGCTGGAACTGGGTATGTCTAGTCTGATGAAAAGAAGGACTAGGGGTGACATGATAGCAGTATTCCAATATCTCAGGGTTACCACAAAGAAGAGGGAGTCAAGCTATTCTCCAAAGCACCTGAGGGTAGGACAAGAAGCAATGGGTGGAAACTAATCAAGGAGAGAAGCAACTTAGAACCAAGGAGAAATTTTCTGACAGAACAATCAATCAGTAGAACAACTTGCCTCCAGAACTTGTAAATGCTCCAACACTGGATGTTTTAAAGAAGTGATTGGGTAACCATTTGTCTGAAGTGGTGTAAGGTTTCCTGTTTAAGGAGGGGGTTGTTTAAGGGACCTGCAAGGTCCCTTCCAACTCTGTTATTCTAGTCTATTCTATTTATGAAAAAATCAAATCTGATCATGATATTTCCAACAATTTTAATAATTGACAACTAGAGTAATATGTGATCAATAAAACATCTTATAGTGATTTTTTTAAATATAATATTCTGTGTAAATTTTATATTTTTTTTCCATTTAAATTCCCATTGTTGCATGGTGATTATTCTTTTCAAATTCTGCAACAGTTTAATCAAAGAATATTTCATGTGTTGGAGTTCCGGTTTGTCAGGCTTCGGAGGCAGCAGGAATTCGCGTCTGTACGCGATCCCTGCTGCGCTCGCTGCTGGAGTGCCTCCGATCCAACTGGACCTGGAGGCTACAGTTATCCTGTAGGGAAAACTGAAGACAGGGGAGATCCGGGCAGGGGTTTTGGGGCATCGCAACCCCCCTCCTCAGCCGGCTAAACTCCCTTTTCCAAAGGCAGTGGAGCGGCGGTCAGCAATGGCCGCCACAAAGGACCTCTCAGCCGGGAAAGTTTTGCGCAGGAGGAAGTTGAGAAACTGAAAGTTTTTGGCTGAACCGGGACAATAATTAACATCTGAATACCCTGGAAATGTAGCTTTCTAAAGGACACATTGTTCCCTAAGAGGATTGTGAAAAGCTGCGAATGAAAGTGAAAAGGGAAAGTTTTTTTTTCTTCACTCTCCTTCCCTACTGAGATAGCAATGGAAATCAGAAACACCCGCTTTGGCAACAGAAGGTAACTAATTTTGAAAATTGAAGCCAAGGGGACATTAAAGATTTCTGAACATTGATATTTTAAAATCAATTTTTTTTTTCTATAAGTGGGAAGGAAGAGGCAAATGATTTATATTAAAATTCTGCTGGAGGAGATTGCTTGGAGTTTATAAGATCAGAGATTAAACTGCAATTTGGAACTGTGTAATTGAACTTTACCCCAGGAAGAGAAAGTATTAAAAGAAGTGCTAAATGAAACAGTTTGTGTTGATTGGGATTGCTTGATGACTTTGGAACTTTTCTAAATTATTTTTTGAAAGACTAAAAACACTTGGACTGTTTAATATATATATATATATTTCACAATGGTATTATCTGTGGAAGAATTGAAAATGGAATTTAAAAAGCTAAAAGAAGAGGAACAACAAGGCAAGGGCTCTTTTGGATCTGTTTTCCACTTCTTAGAAATGGCGATTTCTACCTATCAGGAAATACAACAATCAGAAAGCTGGGATGAAGAAAGAGAAGTCATCTTTAATGGACAAACTATTTTAGTTGATGAAGAAAAGGGAAAAGGGGGGGGAGAGAATGGAGAATTCAAGATCTAAAAAAACAACCAAGAAAGGGAAAAATAAGGTGAAAAATTGATATAATGTCAGAAAGCAACAGAAAAGAGAAATACAACAGAGAGGGGAGACTAAAAGGGTGGAGATTGAGAGATGGGGGTGTGACAAGGCTAGATTTGACAAGAAAGGAAGGGAAAAAGGAAAAAGAAGTTATAAAGGCTTAAAACAAGATGCTAAAAAACAGGTTTTTTTTAGAGATAAAGGGTAAGATATGATTTAAAAAGAGATTCTGCAAAAGTACACAAGATTGTATTGTAGTATTCGTATTTGAAATAGAATTAGAAAACTGGAATATTATATGTGTTAATAGAATATTGTAGGGAATGTGTAAAATATCTAAGATTTAATAATACTTAATATCTATGTGTAAAATATCTAAGATTTAATAATAGAGTTTAATTAATTAATTTGTTATGGAATACTGTCTTTACTATATTATAAGCTTATTACCTTAGAAAGGCGTCATACTTCAACCACTGATTACAGGAAAAATTTTGTATTAAAAAGAAAAGATAAATAGACAATTGAAAAAGAACGGACAAAAGATACAAGTATAATGATTTAAATTGAGATGAAGTAAAAATAGAATTAAGAGAGTGAAAAGAGGGGAGAAGACATATAGAAAATATAGAATGTTAAATAAGATTGAAATAGTATATAAGGTGAGCATGAATTTGATTTATGTCTGTACAAAAAGATGTAACCCGGGGTTAAGCCGCTTTCTAAAAAGAAGTTTTATGTTTTCATGTTACGTGTTTTGTTTGTTTATGTTTGTTTATTGAGAATTAAGATTGTTGGATGAGAACATATGAAATTGTAAATAAGATAGATGAAAGTATAAATTTAATGAATAAAATTGAATAGAAGTAAAGGGAAAAATAGTGAGAAATTGGAAAAAGAGTAATAAGATATGAAGCTGAATATATAAGATGTATATTAAATTGAGTTTGTATGGAAATGGGATAATTTGGAATTATGCTGTACTTAAATAAGATGTTTTATTTGCTTTCTTAAAAGATGTTCTATGTTCTTACGTTTTATGTTTTGTTGGTTTGTATATTGTTTTTGAAAATTAATTAAAAAAAGAATATTTCATTTGTTTATCTTGTTAAATGTATTTTATCACCCAGCAACTTATAAATGACTTGC